AAAACTTACTGGATACATCAGAGAGCTGCTGATAATAAGGGCTTAGAATTGTGGACTCAGTCAACACTCGGGCGGGTAAATTGGAAACCTATCCCCAGGCCTGCTGGGAGAGCCAGGTCTTGAGGGCTGTGCGGAAGGTCTGGATGGTGGTCTCTATTAGGGAAGTTAAATTCTAATTATCCTCATCCAATTCCTCTATATCCTGATTCTATGTTTATTTAGAACATTCAATCTGTGACTCATAAAAATTAAGGAAAAAACACAGCCAAATCTATTAGCAGAAATTGTAGTATAGCTTTGATCACTTCACACTGAATTTGGGGTTAATATAATTAATCATATTAAACCACATAATACTTAATAGGAGATATTAATAAATACAAATGATTTTTTCCCTATAGATACTAGAAAAAATGAATTTAAATATGCATTTAAGTTTACGCATACATATTTTCAATAATAAACTCCCTTTTTAATGATCCTGTATTCCCTATTTGGGGTAGAATTGGGGCAAATTGACGGAGTTGGGCGTTTACTGGCTGAATGCCCTTCCTGATGCTTACATGGAGTTAGCCACATATATTTTTTCTTTGCACCCTAGAAAAGAAATAATTGCTTCTACCTAGTACTGAACTCTCAACCTTCTGAGTGGGAGGTGAGCGTCTTCACCACTAGGTCGCCATGCCACTCATACATATTTTCAACAATGTAATATTCAGTACTTAAAAATACTAAACCTACATATATTCTCTTCTATTGGTACTTAAAAAATGCTGGAAAGTAATTAAATACAACAGTTTATTATTCTGATTCTACACATGATCTATTCACTTTGTAAATAATCATATACAGACTCATGGACTCTCTTGATTTGAGATAAAATTCTGACAGGTCTGGTAAAATATTCCTGAAGATTTTTGGGGCAGAAACACAAAAATAATTTGCCACTGTTTTCTTCCTTGATGTTTGTTGCACATCAGCATATAGCTCTGGAATTCCCTTAAGGTCTCCCATCCAAATGCTAATCAGATCCAACCATGCTAGGTTTTTAAGCCCAAGCAAGATTGAGTCAGTACGCCACCTGCTGAAGTCACTAATTTTCTACACTGATCCACTTCTGCAATGCTTATTAACACACCTTAATTCATCTGTTAAATCATGGATAGTAGAGTACTTCTCCTCTAGGGATGTCTGTGCATTCTGTAATGTATCCCGAAGGTCTTGCAGTTGTCTCAAAGTAGTTTTTAACTCCCCAGTGGCGTTTTCCAGGTCAATTTCTAGAGATTCTATTTTCTGCATGGAATCTTTTTGCTGGGTCTCACTTATAAGCAACTTATCTTCTAATTCTTTCACTTTTGTACAAATAGAAAAAAAGCAATCAAGAATGTTTAGGCAGACAATATATGCATTTATACACATGATATAGTTTTAATTTTCTACCCTATCCTTCAGGCTATTCCAAGATGAAGAACAACAAATTCAAAATCAGCAATCACCCTAAAATACTTTTTAAAAAAAGCAAAATTAAAATATATTATTTGGGAGTAACTGAACTGTTTGCTTATCCCTAAATCTAATAGACTAGGTTCCAAGAAAGGGACTCCAGAAAAATATTCTTTCGCCATATTATAATAATTAAAAGTACCCTGTTTACATTTTCTCTATGAAGTAGAGCTTCATGTTTACAATCAAAAGTTTAATTCTATTTAGAATCAAACTGTAAGCCAGTTAAGATGACTGTGTATATATGTGTGTGTGCATGCAAACGTGCCTGTATGATGCATTCAAAAGTTCTCATACAGTCTTCAAGGATGTCTGCATGCAATAAATATGGATGTTGCCAGTCATGTATAACTGTGGCAAGCCTCTTTTCCTAGTGTTGCCAGTTATGCATAACTGTGGCAAGCATTATTTTCCTAGTGCTACATACATGCAAACATACCCTTCATGGTATTCCATTTTGGGTAAGTAATGGTTTACAGAGCACAGAAAAAGAGATAAGAAATAAAAATTATAGACATCAAAACCATGAGATAAAAAGAAAAGGAAACGTAGCCAAAACTAAAATTACAGACATAATAGTCATTGATTTAACATTAAGTAAGGTATTTTGGGGGGAATCAAGAAGGTTAGCTTTAAAAAATACCATTTTTTTTTCTGATATATTTTGATCAATGTATACATTACAGTTATTTAAAATCAGTGCAGACAGTTGATTAAGTTTTCCTATTTAATATTGTTATTCCATTCTCAAAATAATTTTCTAGAAAGTTGTCCCATTCATTTCAATATGGCATAATAAAAATATTGAAAGCATAATGAAGAGCTTACCTTGGTGTGTCTTTTCATCAAATTCTGAGATTCTCTGTTGTAAATTAATTTCCAGTTGGCTCATCTGCATTGCTTTATTATGACCATCTCTTCTTAAGTGCACTAATTCTTTCTCCATGTCTATTAACTCATCTTTACATTGATCCATCTCTTGTTTAATCTGCCTACAGAAGCAAATATACCATGTCTCAATAAATAATTAAAACAATAGCATTGCAGGTCTACAAAGTATCCAGAATCAATAATCAAAAGAATGGGAACTACACCTCAGAACAGATTTGGATCTTTTACGTGTAAGCTATTTACAGTTATTAAAAAACGCACAATATAAATGGAGGAATAAATAATACACAAATAAGTACATTTGAAAATGCACTCATATATTAATCTGGGAATAAATTCCACTAAAATCTATAGGATAAATGGATATGCATAGAATTGAGGTATAAACTTTTGTTTCTTAAACCCTTTTTTCCTTGCAAAATAATACATTCAAGAAAATAACTGCATATTTAAAAAAAAATGGGACTATGCCTGATTGTAGCAGTAAGTTCTGCTATTTTTTGCCGTTTCACATTGTTTTCTTCAGTGGTTAAATGAAGTCTTTCATTTGTTCTTCTCAATTCTTCTCCCAACATATCCTTCTGCTTTTGAAGTTCTTGCTCTAGTTTTGATACCTGTTTTTTGAGAAGAAAAAATAAATTTGGGCATGGGAAAAAACTTTATCATTTTGCTGTTTGGTAGATGGTTGTTTTGTTGCTGGTGTTACTACAACACTTTCCAAATGCAGTTGTGCAAAATATTAGGAGATTGAAATGTCCCAGCTTGGACATTACTGGAAATCATCCAGGCTTTCCAATCTTAGAGAAATATTCCAGTCTGAAACAGGCATTTAATTGCAAAAGCAAATTTGGAATATATGGTTTCAAGGTCAGAATAAAACATTTTAGGGCTAGGACTTTTTGACATTAAAATTGTTTGAGTATTTCTATCTCCAAACTTCAAGTTGCCCATTGGTCCAGAAAACTAGGAACCCTATACACCTGTTAACATTATAAATTTTTGAGATACCCCAAAAGGTATATATTTCTGCTTATTAGGAATAAACGTGAAAATAATTGATTTGGGTATGTATTCTACTGAACCATGGAAGAGACCTCTGATTGTTTGAATGCAGCCTGAATATTCCTATGAGACCAGGTTCAACTCAGTAGTCCTTCTGACTTTTTGCAAGCAAAACCTCTAATTGTGCATTGGAACTATTATGCATGGCATATTAAGAGCACATTACTAAGTGTTTGCATTGAGATATGCTACCAAATTGTTTAGAATTACAGTGTGAATCTCTGTTTCTGTGGTAGGCAAAAGAAGACAATTAAAAACAACGTGGCTTACAATCACCAGCCAAAACAATGCTGGAGGCTTAGACTGCTTTGCTTCGAAGAACTATACTGCGACTCTAGCCGTAGAGGAAATCTCTTTCAAGATATATTCTGAGGGTAAAATAATCAATTCTTTCAGCTAAACTCTCGATTCAAATTAATGCTTCACAATAAGATGAAATTGTTTCATTTCAAATACGCTTGGTAATAGAAAAAAGAGAATACGAACTATATAAATGCTTGTCACACATTTTTAAAATATTAACATGAAGAATGTACCTGTTTTTGGAGCTTTATTTGGCTATCATCTAATTCACTATTCCTAATGGTTTCTTGATGTAACATTTGCTGCTGCTGCTGCAGACTCTGCTGTAGAGCAAGATTTTGTTCACTAGTTGACTGAAAATTGTCATTCTTATGCTTTATTTCTTTTTGCAATCTCTGTATCTGAAAAATAAATAATACGATGAGACTGCAACGAGGCAATTAGTTTTTCAGCTTCCTTCTACTTCACCTTTAGCAGAATGGTCTGCTCTATCAATCTATATCTATGCTACTAACAAGTTGTAGTTTTTATTAACATCTATTATAAATGAAAATAAAAATCTACAATATGGGTTATATTTGAAAATATGGTTTAGCTTAAAATAATTAGGAATAGATCCTGATATTGCGTCACTTCCACATAACTAAATATTCTTTGTCTTTAGCAACGACAAAGGTCTGGTTGTATTATAAAATCAACAAAGTTTCTCTCACATTTCTTTCCAGTAGTATACCTAATAAAATGAATTCCTATTTTTTGTATATCAAATATAACATAGACTATCTGGGGAGCAAGATGAAAAAGAGCATGTTTACCTCTTCAGACTTTTTCTCCAATTGCTTTTCAAACAGCACTTTATTTTCTTCTAAATGCTCTAAATACAAAGCTATATCTTGCTTACAGCTTTCTAACGCTCTTTGTAAATGTTTGACCTAATAAAACAGAAGAAAACATATAACAATAAAGAAAGGCTATCTGCTAGAGACAAGCCTAGTTTATTAGCTACACTAAGAAATGTTGTGACTCAGCAGAAGTTTGCTGTGAGTTGAGTCAGGATGCAGGAATAACAATGCAGCTGGGGCTCGTTAGTGTGGTCTTCTGGAGATAAAAGGACTGATGATGCCACGCCCTGGTTGCAGAAATCAACGTTCGTCGTTCGTTCATGGTTCATTGCTCGTGGTTTGTTTGTGAGAGGCACTTGGATAAGTGATTTGCTTTCTGTAACCCTGATTCAAAGAGACACTTGGAGAAGTGATTTACTTGCTTTCTGGACATCTGGTTTGGGCCGTAAGAGATCTTTGTTTTTACATTCTGTTATCTTCTTGACAGAGACTTTATTTATGTTTATTTTTGGGCTCGCAGCCAGTGTGAGCAGAGGCTGATAAAGTTCTTTCTTTTTAAGTCTGTCTGCCTGTGGTCTTTGAATGAACGAACGAAGAAGGGGGGGGGGGGTCAGAACAAAGAAACAAACTACATTTGGCACTTGCTATCTTTGACTTGTTTTCATCTCAGATGATTATTATAAACACACTAACATACAACAGCTATTTGCTCCCGCTCTCCCTTTTCTTTTTTCCTTCTATGTTTCTTATTTTGTAAACCCTGGTAATAAGGGAGGGTTTTTTGAATTGATTCTGGAATCCTTGGTATTCCTGAAAAATTAAGTGCTACATTCAGTATTAAGTTATTTGAACAATAGTAATAGTTGTAGTAATAAATTCATAAAGCAGTGGGGTCATTTAATAAATATTAAATATTTAAAGAAAATAATCCATTTATGGATGTATTCTTTAAAGACTAATTACCCATTAAAGTCAAAAATGAAATTAATGCAGAGGATCCATTTGCCATTCTGCTACTTTTCTTTTTGAAAGAAAATGAAAAATAAGGGGAGGCTTTAAACAATACAGAGGAAAAGAAAGCTACTTTAAGCTCTGAGAAGCCACAAAAATTGTACAAACCTTGACTGTTTCATCAGCAAGTTGGTCTTGTAATTTCTTTAAAGCTTCATCTTTCTTTGTTCTTTGTTTTTCCATTTCCTGTTTTTATTCAGAATCAACAGAATATTTGATGTTATTAAAAACTAGGACTTTTCTACCATATTTCTGATGTGGTATAAATTCTCAAGCAAGTTGACTGTCACCTATTTTTATATAAAAGAAAAATCTGCAGTATGGTGTCCTAACACATTTGGATTAGATTCATTTTCTTGAGTTTCCTTCCATTTTGCATAATTGTATTACTCACCTCCCAACTCTTGTTTACAGGTTTTCATCCTTCAGGCATCTATCTATTGTATTTTTCAGAGTATAAGATGCATCTTTTTCCCTCAAAAAAGAGGGTGAAAATCTGGGTGCGTCTTATGCACTGAATGCAGCATTTTTGGCTTCCCAAAACCCCGCCCCCTTTGAAAAATGGCCATGCATAGCCTTTAGGTGGCTTCCAGAGTGCTCCTGGGGACTGGGGAGGCAAAATGCGTGAAAAACGGGCCGTTTTTTGCTTGTTTTTGGCCCCCCAGTCACCAGGAGCACGCTATAAGCCTCCTAAAGGTTATGCATGCCCTTTTTTTTTTTTGGACAAAAAACGGGCCCAAAAAATGGGCCATTCTGGGGAGGTCTGCAGAGTGCAAAAACTTTCTTTTTTAATTTGCCTCTTCAAAATCTTGGTGCGTCTTATACTCTGGTGCGTCTTATACTCTGATAATTTCATGTTCCTATTTATTAAGTCTGTGTCTCTATCACCAACCAAATAGTTATGCCACAAGGATATGGGGGTTCCAACAGCTGATAAATTCAAGAAAGTTTCAAGTAATAGAAAAGTGTCTGTCTTATCTATAAAATACTGCTTGCTTGACCAAAGCATGTCAAAATTTTTGATGGAGCAATGGGAATGAAGATAGTAAGAAATCATAATTCATTTAGCCATATCAATATACTATACAAAGATGCACATCATTTGAGCTCAACTACATGAACACAGTTTTGTCACTATACGGACATGTTTTGACAAGACCTCCTTCAAGGATGTATGTTAACATCCCAAAGTAGCCAATACATTGACATTTCCTGATGCTCTCCTATCCAAATTTTATCCGGGCACAAACATATTTAACTTCTGAGCCCAGATAAGTTTGGCAAGATTCTGTCATCTGTTGAGGTATGTCCAAATTCATAAAATAAAAATGAACAATATATAATGAACAAATGATGTTGGGCAGTGTTGAACTTCAGGATTGTGACTATGGTCTAGACAGAAGATATCTTGATATTTCATGGACAACCGTGACTGGCTTCTTCAGAAGCAAGGTGGTTAGCTATGTAGACCACAAGTAATTGCGCAGGAACTGACCAGGCTCCTAACTTTATAACCAGGTGAACTGGTTGGTCTTTAGATGATCTGGATTCTGGTTGGTGCAGGTTGATGAGAACTAGTCTGTTTATGCCCAATTCTGATTGGCCATTTTGGTGGCATTGTATCTTGATTGGTCCTTTGTTCATTCCAGCTTCTGAATGATCATTTTTGGAATGCTGATCAGCCATAGTTGCTGGCAAAACATCAGAAAATCTGTTGTCTAGAACACTGTCAGTAAATTCTGAAGCTAAATACTTCCCAACAAATACCAATTATGAAAGCCTGAACCAGTATATTGAACAACTATTTCAAACCTAGAAATATAGCCTTTTCTGATACTGCTATTTTATCATTTTTAATTAGAAATTGCATCTGAAGGTTGTTAGTGCAAAGCCTCCTAGTATTAACAGTAACTCTCAAATTGCTTTTCAGATGCTAAAAAGCAAGGAAACAATTTGCAAGTAGTAACTTTCAAGCAATCCAACCCAAATCCCAAGAACCATTAATTATTCAAAAATGCTACCTCTTTGCTTTCTATTAATAGTCGATCCAATGATTCAAGCTGATGCTGTTTATATAAAGCATCCTGTTGGAGAATGGACATTGTTTTCTCTTGTTCTAGAAATTGTTGGTTTTTAGTTTCTAGTTGAGACTGTAGCTATATAAGAAAGAAAGATTGTAATTGATCTATCCAATATCCAATATCCCATATACCTTCCCTATTCATCAATATTACAAGAATGCCCTCCTCCGATATTTTACAGCAAACTAAAATATAGATTATCATATTTAATAAAGACACTTACACAGACAGCAATAGAATACTATTTAGACTGTTGAAAGAAATAATCAAAGATATAGAGATTGAGAATGGAAAAAGCAGAGCATTTGCTATAACTTCTGGCCTACTGAGGGCTTTAAATGAACTTTGAAAAACCTGCAGAAATATATTTACAATTTTCTTACTCACTGCTGAACTCCAACTCTTTCATCACCACCCTTGTTTTGTAGCAGCATTTTTACCCCAGTTGGAAAGAACACTGTAGTGATTTATTCACCAGTTTTTGATATTTCAAAGCCTGCAGATGTACCGTATTTTTTGGAGTATAAGAGGCACCTTTTTCCCTCAAAAAAGAGGCTGAAATCTGGGGGCGTCTTATACACTGAATACAGCATTTTCTGCCTCCCGAAATCCCGCCTCCTTCACCAAAATGGCAGCGCATAGCCTTTAGGAGGCTTTCAGAGTATTCCTGGGTGCTGGGGAGGGCAGAAATGGGTGAAAAACACGCCGTTTTTTGCTCACTTCCCCCCCCCAACCCCCAGGAGCACCCTATAAGTCTCCTAAAGGCTATTCATGCCCTTTTTTGGAAAAAAAAAAGGGCCCGGTTTTCGTGAGGTCTGCAGAGTGCAAAAACTTTTTAATTTGCCTCTTCAAAATCTTGGTGCATTTTATACTCCAGCGTGTCTTACACTCTGAAAAATATGGCATATTAACAAAATTTAACATCATATAAATTAATGTGTCTAATTCTACTTCAAAATTTTGAA